TAATTACCGGCACCAAATACACCAAGGTGCCTTCATCCCCCATACACCTGGGGGAGGCAGTGGCTACAGACCACCTGCTCCCTGTTGTCATGGCAAATGAGCACCTACATCATCAATAAATAGGATTTTGATAGCAAATTAATGCCACCTTCGAGAAGAGCCACCAGGCATGGAGCCATCTGACAGCTCAGTCAGGTGTAGGGCGTTACACCCATCAATCCTGGGAGTCAGTTGTCTGCGTTGGTTCCTTAATAAGAGCAAAACAGAGCAGTGGGCAGCCAAGTCATCCTGCCAATTACGTTTGCTGCGTCTCATCAGTCTCAAGAGCCCTAATAAAACCTCCAGGCGCTGCAGACCGAGATGGATTATCTCTAGAGAGATGTCAATATGCTTCAAAATAAGAATCCTTAATGAGCTGGCCATTACTGCTAACTTAAAGCCTGTGCACACACGAATACACACATTAAATCTGTGGCTGCTTCATCTCAAGAATCCAGGAGGTTCTGAAGCAGGAAAACAAAAAAATATATTTAGCAGTGTGCAGACCAAGCTTGGAGGAGGGGTGAATGCAACATGATATCAATGGGAGTCTTGAGGTTAAATCACCCCATCAACAATGGCTTTGATGTAGGTACCAATTCCCACCTCTCAACACCTGGAGGAATGTCAATGTTACAGAAGGTAACAGTGCAACAGCACGTTCAGACAGCCAGCATGGGGCAGGATTTGGGGGGTTATTGCTTTTTTTCTTACCTAGTCTCCCTTGAATAAACCCACATTTTCCTTCAGCTCCAGAGATTAGGAGCAGAAAGGCCCTTCACAGCATCACCACAAGTGCCAAGAGGTTGAACCACATCTGCCAGACACCAGGGGAATTAACCACCAGAGAAAGGACAGTGAGCTGGCACACTGCAAGAGCTCCAGCTCCCAGGTGTTCCAGCATCAGGGATAATTCCTGATCAACCCCCCACGTGCAAAGATGTCCAGCACAGCTGATCCCATGAGGTCTCTGCCCAGAGACCTGAGAAGCAGGTCTGAGAAGCAGCACACTGCAGCAGGGCTCACTTGAGCTTCCCTGCCCACCTCAGTACACATCCAAGTCCCTGTCAGGAAGGATTACTTTTATCTAAGGCAAAAAAAAAAAAAAAAAAAAAAAAAAAGAAAAAGGAAAAACCCCACAAAACTCACACCACCAAATATCAACCTCACCCAAACGTGCAATCTTTTCATTGCACGTATTTTTTACACCTTGCCACGCTGAAACACGATTGAAGGGTCATTTAATTTGTATTTGACCAGACATTTAACAAAATTATGATTCAAACCCAATTACTGATGCAAAGCCAAAGCTCTGAGATCTCCATCTTACAAGAGTAGCTTGGGATGCAAGAGCAGCTGCACCACACAGCAGCAGAAAAACTGGAAATCTGTGCCAGGTGAGGGGAATGGGGAGAGGAGTGGGGGTCAGGGAAACACTGTGCTGAGAGCTGAGCATGGAGGACAGGGAATATGAGCCTAAGGGGTCCCACATCCGCTCCCACTTACAAATACAAATGTCCTTTGCATCACACTCTTACAGTTGGCTGGCAAAACACCTTGAATTACACCCCCCCCCAAAATCCAATCATGGTAACAGACATAATGATCAATAAGTACCAAGGGCAAGTATGTTCATCCCACTTCCCAACTCTCCAGAAACAGCCTCTACAGCAAAAGCAATTAGCAGAAATCAAGTTTTACTCCAGCCTCATCAAAACTGGCCTCACGACCACTGACTCTCAGAAGAGAACTGGGCTTTAAGACTGTTTTTCCTGTTTATTTTGTCAGCCACTGTGGAGGTTCAGTAGCTTTGGGTCATCCCATCCTGCCAGGGACCCCAAAGCACTGGAACTGAGCATGAAAATAATGCAAATTTGATACTGCAACCTAATGGGGCCATTTGCCTTATCTATTTAATTAAGCACCATGTATTAAACTATTGCTGCATGGCCAACCTGGCCATTTCACCAGCCTGGCTTCTCTGCTGAACAAGCACAGGGAGGTTTTGGGAGGACAGGGACATCAGTCCATCCCTCCACAAGAAGAGCACCAGTCCCTGCAGCCTCCCCCCCAGCCTTGTAGCATTGCCAACTCTCCAGCCTCCCCTCACAGCCCACCTTCAACAGCTGCAAGGAAAAACAAATCAGCATGGAAAGGGATTAAAAAAATAACACACAAGTGTCTGGATCTTAAAGCGTTTCTCTGCAGAGAGATGTGATTTCACCTCTGGCTTTTGAAACGCTGCTCACCTCGGGCAGAAATCTGTTTCTCATTACACACCTGCACAGCCCCACTTAATTCACCGAGAAAGGTGGATGACAGAATATTACTGGGTGTTTCAAGTCTAGCACAACTGTCTTGTCCCCTGGCATTTTAACTGATTAATAAAAGAAATAACCTCTGTAGCGAGGCAGACAGCTGGTTAGCCAGCCCAGCCAACCAGGTAAAATGTGCATTTATCATCAAAAACAACCTCTGAAGTTCCTAGGTGCGCTGTCTTGCACATCCCTACCCCGTGTCTGAACACATCACAGCTGTGTGACAAAGATGGGTTCCTACATTTTTTCCTCTGAAATTTGGCCTGGAGAGGCTGAGCTGAGCACCGATAGCCACAGTGGGGCTGGGGCACTACAGGGATGTTTGTCCCCACTGTGGTTTTGGGCTCAGATCCTTTCCTCCCTCTCACCTCCCCGGGCTGCCAGGGCAGCAGCAGATGCTTTTAGCCACCCTGGAGAAGAAGCCAGATTCCCAAATTCAGGAATTGCCAGAGAAGCACCCAGCATATCAAGTATAAAGACTGATTTGAGACTGATTTGGGTCTCATCCTGGCCAAGGACAAGCATCAGCTGAGCCTCGCCAGAGCATCCAGTCCCACACCAGGCTCTGCACATCCTGTGGGCTCAGCTTTGTGCTGCTCCCCTCTGATGACCAGATTTTCTTGCAGAGGTGACCACCAAAGCCATCCCAAGCAGCCAGTTCCCCTCACACTCCTCCCAAAGCTGGGAAAGCAGCCAGGTGGGGCAAGCAGAAAGCAATTTCATTAAAGACAGCGGGGCTGTAAACTCTTCCCTCAAACAAGTAACACCTGCCTCGGCAAGGGCAGCAAGAACCTCCTCTCAAGACTACCCCCTGGGACTCTCCCTACATCACAGCTCCCATAGAATCATAGTTTAGGTTGGAAAAATCCTTAGATCATCGAGTCCAACCATTAACCTAACACTGCCAAGTCCACCACTAAAACCATGCCCCCAAGTGCCACATCTTTAAACCTGTTTTGAACTCCCCGCAGGACAAATATCACACCAAAATTAGGTTTGTAGGATTACAGTATTTCCTTAAAAGAAAAAAAAACAGCACAGCATGCTATTCTCAGCACGTTCTAGGAAAGCTCTAGTCCCCCACACCTACAGCTCCTCAGGACAGTTTATATTTGGAAACATCGGTCTGTGCGGAAGAGAGTTTGATCATTTTGTAGCCTGGAAAGCCAAGAGGAAATCTCACAGCATTGTTCCACCCTGGGAAGAGGCATCAGGACATGTTATTATTTACTCTGAGACAGCACCAGGGCTGACACAGGCTGGTTTCACCACACTGCTGGGGATTCCCACTCCGGTTCTTTGCAGGATCAAGATCTCTGATTCCACAAGCGAGCACCAGCACTGACATCCTCACAGCAAAACACCCTTTGCTCCCCAAAGAAGGACTCCAAATTTCAGAGCTCCTGGCTGTCCTCAGCCACAGCAGCTCCCCCAGCACACGGGGTTATGTCTTGCTGGGTGAGGGGGACAAACAAAAAACTCCAGCAGAAAAAGGGAAAGGCACTTGCCAGACGAGCAGCGTGCTTGCACAGCACACGAACAGAACTCGTGTTTGTATTTTACGCTATTTATCTTTGAAGGCTTCAGTAAAGTTAAACAGAATCTCGAGTAACCTCACTACCGGGAAGTTTCCATTTCACCCCTAAAACCTGTTGTTGTTCAAAAATAAAAGATAACAGTTTACCATGAACTTGTCACCACAGGGGCTGCCGCCGGGGAGGGCAGAGAGCCCCATTTCATTTGTTTCCAATCGATTTCACTTCCCGATTCTCATGCAAATACCCACAGCTCAGCTTGCAAAAACATAAGCAGAACATTTAGACCCAAAACAACCTGAGCTGATTTTACTTCCCCCCCCCCTTCGTTTAAAAGCTTGAGTCCACCAAACCGACCAGAAAATGGAAACACTTCCATGGAGGGAGCCCTTTTAAATTTCCCAAACCAGAGAGCCACTATGAGAGCTGGGCAGGGAGCGGGGCAGGGGCCAGGGCGCAGCTGGGGTCGCTGACCCGAGCCCTCCATCACCCCCGGCCCGCCTGGACCAGCTACGGCTCCGCGGGGATGCGGCTCCGGGAGCCCCGACACCGGCAGAGGGAACACGGGGGGCCGGACACCACATGGCCGCGGTCCCTGCCCGGCCGGGCTCGGGGCAGGCTTGCAGAGCACCAGGGTTTGCGTGTTTCTATAATTTTTTCATTTATTTTCCTTATAATCTTCCCAGCCAAAGTTTTGTCCCGGTGCTCGCTCCTCCCGCACATCTCAGACGAACCAGCGCCTCCATAAAAACCGCGAATAAATCCCATCTTCTCCTCTTGAGCCCTATTATTTGCTTTTGTTTCGCCATGACTGTAAACAGAAGGGGGATGTTTCCCTCCTTCCCGGGGTGTGCTCTCCCCGCCCCGGAGCCCTTCCCGTGCGGCCGCGGCTCCCACCGGCGCTGCCCCCCCCGGCCCCGGGGAGAGAAACCGGGGGGCTGCTGGGCATCTGGGGGGGCTGAAGCAGACGGTCTCCCACGCATTCCATCCCATTCACGCATCCCACCAAGTTTTGCGAGAGCAACGCCCGCATCCAGAGATCCAGGGAAGGGCGTGCTCGCGGGGGTCCCCCACCCACCCACCCTTCCATCCATCGATCCCCTCCTACCTGGGACATCTGGGGCCTGAAGTTGATGTCCTTGAGGTCGATGGAGCCGGGGGAGAGGTTGTGGAGCAGCTGGCAGAGCAGCACCCCGTCCCGCAGCGCCTGCGCCAGGTCGAAGACCACCGCCGAGGGCCAGACCACCCGGTGGTTCGGGGGCAAAACTTTGCAGTCGATGAGCCAGCGGCCGCACTGCCGCCACTCCTCCATGGCCGCGGTCTGCTCACTCACCCGGCCTTCCTCCTCCTCCTCCTCCTCCCGGCGCTCAGGGGCCGCGGGCGGCTGCCCCAGGGGCCGCTCTGCACCGCGGCTCCGCGCTACCGCCCCGCTCCATCGCCGCCCGCCGCCCCGGAGCGCATCGCTCCGCGCCGGGGCTCGGAGGAGGAAGAGGAGGAGGAGGAAGGAGGGCGGCGCGGAGTTTTCCGGCGGAGGGCTGCCCCTGCCCCCGCTGCGGCCCCACCGCCTCGGCCGGGGTTAGGCGCGCCGCATCCTCCGGGAACAAAGCCGGGGACGGACGGACGGACGGACAGCGCGCACGGCGAGGCCGCCCCCGCGCAACTCCTTCCCCCTTGCCCTGAGGAAACTGGCGCCGCCGAGGGACCCCACCTGCGCGGCCGAGCCGGGGACCCGCCGTGGGTGCGAGTTTTCTCCCCGCCCCGAGCAGCGGGAGGAGCCCCCGGCCCGCCCCCGCGGCCCGCCCCCGGCCCGCCCCGCCGCCCCTTTGTCTGCGGGAGCCCGGGCTGGGAGCGGGGGCGCTTCGCGACGCCTTGGCTCCGATCCCGTGTTTTTTTCCCCTTTTTTTCCTCCCTTTCCCCCCCCCCTATTATTTTTTCTCTCCCCCCTCCTTTTTTTTCCCCCTGTTCCTCCCCCCCCCTTTTTTTTTTCTTTTTTTCCCCTCCCTGTTTGTATCCCTCGCTCCTTCCCGCCGCTGCCGCTCCTCTCCCTGTTCCGGGAAAGGCGCCCAGAGCCCCGATGCTGCTTCGCTCTCCCCGCCGGCACCCGCACTTAGCGGGGTCCCCCCTCCCCAGGGACCCCTTCCCTGCTCCCCCTGGCCCGAACCCTCCGGGGCAGAGGCAGGAGCGGTCCCGGGGCTCCTCCGCCTCCCCGGGGCCGCACACACAGACCCCGCTTTGTCTGACCGCTCACTCCCACTCGTCATCCCGTGTTTAGGTTGCAAATACTGCAGGGGAGATGTTTAACCCAAACAAGCTATCGTGTTCCTTGACTTTCAAACACGAGGACAACTCCTATAATTAATTACCAGTGTATTTATTAAAAACTTCAGCTCTCAGCCATTAACTCCTTGGCAGCAATCTCTTGAAAAATCTCTAATTTTCACCGGTGGCTTCCATCCAAATCAGCACAGCTTAGAACAGCCTCTTTTCAAATCTGTTCTGAGTTTTCTTCCGAGATCCTCTCCCCAGAGTTTGCCGATTAATTTCCAGCCTGGCTTTCCAGATAGCCAAAACCGGAAGCCGAGACTGGGACGAAGGGAAGCTATTAACCTGGATGTCAAACAAATGCAACACTAATCTCTTCCAAATGGAGCCAAGCGGAGATAAAGAAGAAAGAACAACTCTACTGCCATGATCCTTCATTTTCAACGCAGGAAGGAGGATCCTTCCAAAGAACAGAAAACAATTGTTTGATATTCCAAGGAAAGTTTGGTAGGCTCTTTGTTTTTTTAAGAAGGCACAGCTTGAGTGGCAGTCCAGCCTTGCCACTACCCCTTGGTCAGGGCAGGATAGCACAGTGTGATCCAAGAGGGAGCAGCATCCATACGCTCCAGTCTCACTATCAGAGCTCCACCCTGCCCCGGGTCTATTCAGGCTGTGATTTCAGCCCACACTCCCCATACCCTGCGGAGGTGCTTTCTCAGAATAATTTTCTCATTATTTTAGTTCTTCATGAAGCATTTCTGCCCTCCAACAGCACCCATGGGCAGGAATCACAAGGCTACTGAAAGCAGTGGAGTCGTGCCAGGGATAATTTTGGTTGACTCGGTACCAGCCTGCCGTTTGAGGTCAGGTCTGTAGGTAGACGACAACAGAGGAGTTTATTATATGTGCATAATTAAAGCTGCCAGCTACAGCCTGGCTTTTCTACTGTGTAATAAAAAGCGTTCTTGGCCCCTGGACACTTGGGAACAATCCCTGCAGCTGCAAAGCCAGCTTCTGCGTGGGAGGTGTTGAAGCAAGTATGCTTCTTGCCTACCTCTGCAACAACTGAAACAGCTGATGGCAGAGGTATTTCTGAGAGCAGAAAAAATTAAACCAATCAAAACCTGTACAGTACAGCGAGGCTCAGGAAGAGCATGAATCCAGCACACACTGGTGAGCTGTGAGCTCCAAATTGCTCAACTGTCCTGCAACAGGACGGGGTATGTGGAGAGGACCCAGACGCTGCTTCCAGGGTGGAGCTAAAGCTAAAAGGGAGCTTGAATAAATTAGAGAGGTTGGGTTTTGTGTTAGAGCTGGTGCTCCTCTCTCCTGCCTCTTGGCACTGCTGGGAATGACAGCCAGCCAGGGAATGCCAGCCTTCCAGGGAATGACTGCCAGCCAGAGGACAGCCAGGCAGGGCAGAGAGTGACACTACCCTCTGCTGGGGACCGAGCGTGGAGCTGCTTCTCTCGGCTAACAGACTACATTTCGTGAGCTTTTATTTTAGTTTGTTGCATGAGAGAAGCCCAAGAGGTGACTGGATGCACTGGAAAGATCTTGCCAGAAGGAACATTGTGCTTTTTCATTCCCAAATGTCTCAGTACACAGAGACAAGGAGCCTGGCAGGCAGCCCCTGCAGCCTGGGTCCCGATGCAGAGTGGGTGTGAGGGGGTAAATGGCTGGTGAAGTGATGGCAATTTGGGAATGTAATAGAGCTGCTTGGGAACATCCCAGTCCAGCATGGAAGAGGCAAAACTAGTGAGGAAAGGAAAGGAAGGGAGAGGAAGGAAGGAAGGAAGGAAGGAAGTTAGTTTAAATGCACTAACGTACAAGGAGATCATACCTTACAAATCAACCCAAACATACCTGGGACATGGCCCCGTTTCCCAGTAATGTGCATTTTCATAATGTCTGGTGTTACTCCTGGGAAAAGAGCTGACTCCCTGGGGGGTCAGCGCGTGCAGAGAAGCAGCTGCTGCACTGCCCCTTTGGAGCAGCCCTCTGGAAGGATCCCTAAAACACCAGGGCCATACCGCCAGGAGATCCCCATTTCCCAGCCAACCAGTGTCTGTGGATTGCCATTGCCACCTTCTGGATTAGTCCAAGCGTGCATCAAGCCTATCCCAAAGCCCTGCTGGCTTCCAGCAGCCTGGACAAGGTGTCTCCAGCTGGAGCCAGAGTTCCCAGAGCAGGAGCCGTCCGGGCTGCTGGCACAGCAGCTGTCACATGTCCCCCGCAGGCTACGTGCCATTTACATCCTGCCCTTAGATTTTGTGATCTCCTTTCACCAACTATTTTAGGAAACCTGTGCAAGCCACAACCAGGCAAACCCGCTGCTCAGCAGCAGCTCTGGCTGGACGATCAGTGAGGGGGGAATCACACGGTTACCAAAATGCTGCCGTGTCAAACAACTGAGTGCAGACAATAATGCTCTGTCTGGCTCATCTGCTGCTGTAAACACCTGATCTACCTGCCCAGACAAGGTGCACACTGGAATAGTCACTGCAATTATCCTCCTGCTAACAGCCCTGCACGGCTGCCAGCAGAGCTCATCTCTCCCCTCCCCGCAGGCACCCACCTCCCAGAGCCAGCAACAGGGGTGACTGCCTGCTACTGTGGAAAGGAGCAGGAAAATTAACCTGGCACAGCTCAGTGAAGGCAGAAGGGATGAACTGGATTCTCTTCTTGTACTGGTGCAACAGGAGCACTCAGCCACAGGTACTCTTTGTTTAGCCTGGATAAAGGTAATGCCTGAGAGTGCAACTCCACTGGAAAAGGGCTCTGACCCCAGGCACCAAGCAGGTGGAGCTGGCACTTCCCTGGGCATTTCTCGGTGGAAATAGTCTTATTTCTGGGGCTTGGGATGCCCCAGCTGTGCTGAATACCAGTAACAACCAGTTAACCCGTTCCCGACACCAACATCACGCTGCCGGGACATCCTCACTAACCGTCCACCCTTCACTGGGCTTCACCCCAGCAGCCTCCCCATCCAAATCAAACAGACCTGGAGAGTATCCCAGTCCCAGGGAGCTGGGCAAGGGCAAAACAGCCTGGCACAGCCCTGCACTGCAGCCATGGCACAGCAGAGGTACGGCCTGAGGCAGCTCGGGGAAAGCAAAGCAGATACAGGGATTCCTTGAAGGAAGGAGAGCAATGATCTGATCCGCTGGCCAGGCAGCACCTGGGTTTCACCTCATCCATTCCACTGCTGCTGCTTCCAAGGTTTGTTTGGGAAGGCTCCTGTTGGCAGATGACCCTGGGGCTCACGGCAAAGGGTGGATGGTCAGAACAGTTGGGGGCTTTTGGAGCTCGGTAGTTTCCAATCCTTCTTCTTGCCTCATCTCATACACAATCCACTTACCAGCTTCTCCTGTTTGCCCAGAGTTTGGTGATAACAGAACTGGCAATTTTTCAGAGAAGACCAAGACACCTCAAAAACCCTTAATCTTGTTCCACTAAAGGATTTTGCACTTTGTTCTGCGTCTTCCACGAGGCGGGTCAGGGCCGGCTTCTCTGCACTAGCAGGAGGCGGATTAAGCAGCAGAGTCAGGCTATTCCTGATAATAAACGTTTTAATAGTGTGGTCATTCCTCTTTTTGTTTTGTTTTCTTCCCTCTTCTTTGTGTTTGGTCTGAATCTGCTGGGAATGGGGAGTTGCAGCATGCCTTCTCTCTGACGAAGTAAACCACAGCCTCTTGTTTGTGTCCGTGAAGGCCAAGAGGAACGGGAGCAGCGCCGGGAGCAGCTCTGCATGGGTAAGTGTATTGGGTCCTTCGCAGGAGATTAGATGGCGCTGCGTTCACAGGAGATAAGAAGATTGTGAGCTTAAATTTAGCATCATCAGGAAAAAAATAAGCCCCACAGCTCTCTTCAAAACATATTTTTGCACTGCGCTTGCCAGGGGACGGACGGGATAAGGAAATGCAGAGCAGACAAGCGATGACGAGAGGAGGTCAAGGAGGTGCTGCTCCGCCACGCTCCTTTTCCACGCAGTTCGCAGTAAGGGTGGCAAGAGGCTGCCAGCACACAGGGGTGTCCCCTGCTGCCTTCACCCCGTGGACAGGCGGGCACTGTGGTGCCTGAGGCAAGTGAAAGGCTACAAAGGGTACCCGCACCCTCCCAGCACAAGCAGCTGCTCCACCAGTTGCCCACCAGAAAGGAGACTTGGCTGAAAATCCCTGGGCTGGGACCCTCCGGCACCTCCGGCAGGCGGGAGAGCCCCTCTCCCAAGGGCAGCGCCGGACGGCAACAGCGGGCTCGTCCAGTTGCTCCCAGCACGGGCTCAGCACACGCTGGGCTGGGTGTCCCTTTAAAACGCACTGGGCACCCGGTGCTGGCTGGCACCCGTGCGACCCACCGCGAGGACCCCCATCGTCAGCCCCAGACCCACGCACCCCACTCGGGGTGCCCCACTGCCGCACCCGGGACCCCACCGCGGCACTCCCCACCGCAGCGCGCAGCGCC